ATAATAATAATAATAATAATAATAATAATAATAATAATAATAATAATGTGAATAAAATGTTTCAGTTACATTTCATATATTATTAACTATTTACACGTAGTCTTTCATAATATTTTTGAGCCACATTGATAGTCTTGTTTGGAAAGCTAAACAAACAGTAAATTCTGTGATTGATTTGCTTTTGTAAATTACTTTTTGATCAATTAATCGTTCTCCATATGCATTGCTTAGACAGAGGTGCTTTAATCTTGGCCTGTTTTACTTCATTGTAGTAAAATTGACTTAACAGCATTATTGGTCTGTGTGGAGGGACGGGGAGTTAATATCTCTTTCTCTTTTGGGATTTTTAGCCAAAATATACCGAGAACATAATATTTTCAGTCCGTATTTTCATGATGTGTAAGTTTTACCTGGACATTGTTATTTGTTATAAGTCTGTGACCAAGTGTGCGATAGAATAGGTAGGTGAGATAATGTAAAATTATTTTATTTTTCAAGGAACAAAAATGTCTCCAATCGTGCTTATATAATCTGAGTTGAGACAATCAACTTTCTCTGGTTCAGTTTCCTTTTGAAGGCAACAGTGCCAATGTCAGTCTTTCGGGGGAGCGTTGCAAATTCTAAAAGTTTACAAAGAGATATATTATTGTTTCTTGATGACTGTCTCCTCCCCCCTCTTTCCAAATTAGTTCCAGCTGTTCACAATAGTTACTAATTTCCAGAAAAGATGCTCCAAGTTCACAGGCTTAGAACGACTTCCAGTTAGTGGAGGATGGGCTCGTACTTGCGTGCCAGCTCATCTAACCACTTTCCCCCCCCCCACCCTCCCAGAAGCAGGAAAAGCATAGAGCTGAATAAACTAGAAATCTCAGACAAGGCGGACTCTTTTCCTGCATCTGGGTAGCAGTTCCAGGCTCTGAAACAACTGAGTTATGAAAACACAGTACAGACCATCCTCCTACCAGGGCACCTCGAGAAATCAGATGAGGGAGATTTTCATCTGCTCTCATACAAAGCAGGCTAAATGTGTTGTACTTATGTCAAAGAAGTAAAAATTTGTAGACATCTTACATCAGAAAAGGGCTTTTTGGAGGAGAGGGTTACGTTTCATTTTTTAAAAACGCTGTCTGGAATTTTTCCCTTAAAGCCATGCAAAGTAAAATAATAGGCTTTTTACAGAAGGGAGGGGGTATCTGATTGGGTAGGTTTTAAGAGATGAAATGAATGGTTTAAAGCTTCTATAAGGCACCCATTTTATCCATCGCAACCAATGCACAACTTCCTTGAAAGACTTTCTGAAAATGCTGTTTTGCCCATACTGTGCATGTCCTGCAAAAGAAACACTTGGGATCTGCCTGCAAGCGGATTGCTGTAAACGATGAAATAGTCATAGAACTGACCAGAGGGATGAGGCCTGTGGATGCGACACTGCTATACAATTGCCAAAAGAAGACCAAGATAATATCACAAATTTAACCCCAAAAACAGGGAATAAATAAAAAGAAAACAGAAAAGGGAAGTCATGAGGCTTTGAGGTTATTCTAAATGGCCATTACAACATTCATTAGAATGTCTACAGCAATGCACCACAAACCCTAGAGATGAGATCGTGGTTACTGAGGAGCGTCAAGAAAGGGTCCTTGGAAGTCAAAGAAATTGCCTTCAGAAAATTGCTTCAGTGATAAGGACAAAGAGAAACGCAAACTTAACCCTAATACAAAAACTGCAAGTTGACTTAATCGCAAGATAACATGTCTTCCTATGAATCAGTAACTGATTAAAGAACAGAAATGGAAGACTGGGAAGGAAGCAGTTTTTAAAAGGAGGGTTGTAAGCAATAAGATTGCTGAGGGTCTTGTGTCTCTATGTTTTCCTTTAAATAACTTAGAGTAGTGTTTCTCAAACTCTTTACTCTCGGGACCCTTTATCTAATTTTAAAAATTATGGAGGATCTCAAAATAGCTTTTGGTTATATGGTTCATATTTATTTATATTTACCATATTAAAATTTAAAATTGAGATGTTTGCTGCTGCTACTGTAATTGTTTTATTGATTTGATTTTTGTTTCATTCACTTGCTGGACAAAGAAACTCTGAGAAATAACTATTTTGTCTCATTGGGTTACTCCTAATTAAAAAAATGTCCAGTTGTAGGCATTTTGAAATGACTGAAATACATTTGTTATTTTGAAAAACAAGTTAGAATGAGCCTGAAAGAGAATATAGCATATGAATGATGTAGCAAAAGCATATACCAAGAATGTTTTCTTCTTCTGATCTATTACTGCAACTCAGTAAAGTTGAATGCTGGGAAGCTAAAGAAAGAAAATGAATTCACACAGCATAATAATGTAAATGAAAATTGGTGGTAGGGAAATCAGCCTTGCTCAGCTCTTGATCAGATAAGAACTGCCATTGTGCTAGTTTTCCGTCATGGCAATATAGAACTGCAGAATTTGGCACATCCCAGCTATAAGGAAGAATGCCCTTGCTCTGAATCATAATAGATTGAATATGGAATCAGCAGCAGGAGCAGACTGAGCATTTTTCGAATAATTACTCCTGGAGCTAATTAAATCCAGCACTTAAGGACAATAGGGACTCAGCAAGATTTTGGAATAGTGGCACACTATTCTTCTACCATCTTGGAAATTGTTCTATTCTGAAATTGCTGAAAAATCATCGGTCAGTCCAGTAGTGTGCACATTGCATAATAATTTGCCCCCAACTTTCATTAGATGGAATCTGTTTGCAGAAGGTAAAAATAACAAAAAGCTGTTCTGATCATCACTTTACTCTACTGTGCCAGATTTGTAATACTTTGTGAGTGAGAGACTCAATGTGGGTAGGTAATACATACTGCCACTTTAGACCACTAGTCCTCTCACTTATCATTTAGTCTATTCGGAATGTATTAAATTGGCTTGTACATTAGGACTGTGCATGCTTTGAAAATGATTTGGAAGGCATATTTTAGAATGTATGGGAGTACAAATGCCAGTCTCACCAAGACTCTTTAAGCATATCAGACACAATACACAGTTGGTAAAGTGTAGACCATTGAACAAGGCTACGCTTGTCTTTCTTGTTTTAGAACCTTTTGTTATGAAGGATGTTGTTTAAAATATTCCCTTTAGGAAGCTGGAATCTAAATTATGTATTATGTAATTATGTCTTATGGAAATACATATTCACATTAGTCGCTCTATTTAGAGTTGGAACTCAGTTCAGATGTGAAAAAAATATGTGCCCTTTTGGGGATTTCCATATCACAACAGTGTTCTTTACATGGATACATCAAACTTTATATACATTTAAGTCTGCAAAATGTTTTGTATGAATTGTACGTGAAAGGTTATCATATATGCTATTACTTAGTATACCAATTAAAACAGGAGTTATTTCTCTACTTGTAGTAAGGAATTTTGGAATTTGGGTTTGGGCTTGCATTCATATATCTGAGCTACATGAAGATGAGTCCTGGTGTTGCAAAATGAGGTGGAAATGCCATATAATCTGTCCTAATGTTACTGAGGCTTTGTGATCGAGAAAGTTTGTCTGGAGAACAGTAGCTGCAGTTAGTCTTCCAATAGTGTTTTGCTAGCGTGTGTCTTGTTTGTTTATGCTTCATCTAAGATAGGTTTTTATAGATTCTAGTACTAAGTATCCTGGTTAGTTTTAGATTTTCACCAGCCCTACTTGTGAAGCCTTGATAGGATTTGCAAAAAAACAAAAAAAAAGCCCAGTTCTAGTTCCCGAGTTACATATTATTCAGTTGTTTTGTGTTAAAAGGAGGAAGAAACCACAGAGCCCAAAACCTCATAGGGGAGTGTGCAAGGGGAATATATTTGGATAGTTGCTTTTTAAACTGACTGCAAAACACTAACATTGCACATAATCAGGAGTTAATGTTTTCAGGTTTTCCACTTTTACTCAGAAATTATTTCCAGCTTCCTAAGGCATTGGGGTAAAGCATTATGGGGAAGCAGTTGAAGGACAACTGTATAAAGGGTTGGGTTTTTTTACACATTTTAGCCCCTCTTTCATAAGTTGGTTAACGAATAGTTAAAAACTGGACTTTTCCCTTTTTGGAAAGGATGGTGTAATCTGTGTTGGGGATTTTGAATCCAGTTCAAGTGAATTTATTCAGAATGAACAATGGTATGCTGTGGTTTTGAGCAAGTGGCTGCAATTGTGCACAGAATAAGGTGTGGAATAAAAGCTTTTAAAAGATGGGATATGAGTTTTAATCCAGGCTAAATCAAAATCAGAGGCCTGGAATTTATTTTGAATTAATTTCCTGGAAACCAGTGATCCCAATATTAAGACAGGTAATATGAATGATCTATAGGTATTTCTCAGGGTTAATGTTTAAGAGTCATGTTTCTTTTTCTTCCTGAATGGGTAACTTTGTTCTGACAGGTGCTATAGCTAAGGCATTTCAAGTTCTCTTTAGTTTTCTTCTCTAATTCAAAGATCCACTATTTAAAAGGAACATCCTACATAGCTGTTGATTTACAGAACTCTTGAAACCTGGATTTTATTTCTGAGTCCCAGAATGAAAGGGAATTTGCAGTCCCAATGTACATAAAGTCTCTCCTAATAATCCCAAGTATCTTTACTTTGGAAATGTGATTTCATTGTTGATATATCTTTTTAGGGAGATTAAAATAAATTTTAATATACTAAATTAAGAGGAAGACACATACTGATAAGATAATGTATCGCGGTGCACATGTTCCAAGATATGTTTGTTTATGGACAGACCATTTCTTCATAAGAATAAAATTGTAGATAAGATTTGATAGCATCTAACCATTCCTATGAGCCATAGTGGCGCAGTGATTAAAGTGCAGTACTACAGGCTACTTCTGCTGACTGCAGGTTGCCTGCAATTTGGCAGTTCAAATCTCAGCAGGCTCAAGGTTGACTCAGCCTTCCATCCTTCCGAGGGGGGTAAAATGAGAACCCAAATTGTTGGGGGCAATATGCTGACTCTGTAAACCGCTTAGAGAGGGCTGTAAAGCACTGTAAAGTGGTATATAAGTCTAAGTGCTATTGGTACTGCTATGCAGAAAGGGATTTCTTCAAATAGTTTGCCTCCGATACTTATGAGGTTTCTTGGCTGGTCTGGAAGAGGATTTTCTTTGTTCTTCATCCTAGTATTTCCCATGAGTGCAGGGCCTGTTTTGTTGCAGTATGAAATTGTTTCATTTTTTTTGAAATTAATGAGATGAAACCGGATACTGACATGATTGCCTTAAATGCACTTTTTGGTATTGTAGAACGTGTAATGAACCTTGCTTATTGGAGCATCTTTGGGTGCTGAACAGGGTGTAAAACAGCAAGAGTGTGCAGCAGTAGAATTCTAAAAATGAATGCAGCAGAGAGTACAATGCAAAATGTTTACAGTGAGCTTGCAGTATGGCAGTGAGAAATGTACAACACTCTTATTCGTTTTTCTGCCCTGCACCCCCAGCATGTAGTCCAGCAGAACTATTTCAGGTGCAGTTTCTGGAGAGTAACTCTTGAATCTTTGGTTCTCTGCTAAGTGCTTTGAGGAAAACATTGCTTGCATCTGTCTGTAGGATGGTATGCTGTGGGAATCTGAGAAAATGTCCATACTGGTCATGCTTTGTTTTAGGAATAATTTCAGTTTCTAGAGCCTGAAAATGTGGGTGAAATACTTGTATCTGTTTGTCCCATCGTACAGGGATGGTATCCAACCGGTATAACTACTAGTTCTGTTGCTCTGCATCGTGCAAGTGCAATTTACGACCTGCTGAGCTGCCCGGACAGCTGAGCAGCGCTGCGTGCAGGTGCGCAGCGGCTGGAAAAGCCCTTTTTTCCTGCTTTTTCAACCGCAGCTGTGCCGCACAAAGCAGCTGAGGTTGAAAAAGCAGGAAATAAAGGACAGGTAAGAGCCCGGGTGGGTGGCTGGGCGAAAACAGCAGCAGACACAGAACCGGTTCTATGTCTGCTGCTCTTTGGAGCAACCGTTTCTACAGAGGTGGACAGAACCGGGAGAATCCCACCCCTGCCATCATATGTAGTCACAATCCTTGCCTGTATCGGCTATTAAGATCGCACCAATGATAGGCTTATATCCAGGGTGTGGTAAATCTCTTATGTCATCAGGAGGACTTTCCCCCTATTTAAAAGAGGCAGCATTGTTGGCTGCTTCTAAAGAGAGCATCCTTGTATCTGAAGGCACTTGAGAACTGTTGCTCAATTGCAGATATCCCATTCTTAGGCAAGAGGTTTGAGAGAATGGCAGACATCCAGCTTCATACCT